ATCATTCTGTCAACTTTGGCATAACGCTCATAATTTTGATCCATGCCATCAAACATTTGGGGGGGGTGCAGGTTCTTCTTCTACATTTTGTCTCTCTTCTTCCTCTGCAATTTTCTGTGCATCTAGTTCAATAAGATCCTCGTTACTGAGCTCTTCTGCTCCATTTTCAACCAACTGTCCAACATCTTCATTATCAATTTCTAACTCCAGCTGTTTACCTAACTCCACTATCTTGTTACTAATATCCGAAATAACTTCATTTTCATTAAATCCTTTGAAACTGTTCACATATCTTTTCAGGATATGAGAATATAATACTGAATCAATAACTAAATAAACCGGACTAATGCAATAGCACCTGATCAGCCCCAACCTTCTTACATACTCAAATGTCTTAGTTCTTAGTAGGCCTATAGCAAATCTGATTAGACCACTGTACAGTGTTCAGTAGTGTTGTTCATTTCATAAGATTTAAATTTTTTTTGTTACCCCCCCCCCTTTTTTTTGGTGACCAGAGCACCTCAGAGTTCGAAAAAAACAAATTCCTTTGTATTAAAGTCCGATTTATTGAGGTTTTACATATATAAAAGTGTTAAAGGTGTTTTTATTTACCTTGTTAGATGATGTAGAGTGTAGATGGTAGACTCAACAGTGGAAATAGACAGCACACTTAAGAAGTTCAGGTACAATTCAGTTTTTCGGTACTTTAACACAATGGTGTGTTAATTGTTTGGCACTTAAAATATAAACGGGATAGTAATAATTTTCTATTTACAAGTTAAACAATACAAGAACTGTACTTGGTTCTTTTCATTTAACAAACTGTACTTAATGTTCACTGGACAAACTTAATCTTACTCCAGAGGCATGTGACGTTAATGGGGTGGAGGAAGCCATCACAACTCAGAAAGTTTGTAGTAATCAATTAAAAGTGTGTAAATGAGTGTAGGTAGTAAGGTGCAGTGTACTGGTGATATGTTTGATTGTTGGACTCAGACTGAGGCATGTGCTGTGTAACACCCACAACATGTATGAACACAAACCATTTGGACCGATGCACGATTTTCCAGACTTTAAAATATCTGGTAAATGGAGGGGGCTGTGTGGAGCACCTTAGAGAGTCCCCAAAAAGCCAAGTACATTACCAAGGTTCTATTGTAATACTTTTTTGGAGTAAAATAATTAATGCCTTTTGCAGTATTATGTTGCCCATTTTGTTATCGTGATGCATGTTGCTGAGAAAGCTGAAATGTCCGTAAGTTTTAGAAGGGACTCTCTCTCTCTCTAAAACGGTTTATTAATAGAGTTGCAGCCGGTGGCGGAAAATATACAAACTTAAATTTGAATTAGACATAATGATATGCGTTCAGTACATTTACAGGGCTGTACAGTACAAAAATCAGAAGTTGTTTATTATTTTAGCAATAGATGGGATGGTGCTATTCTTATATCTATCAGTGCGGGCTCTTATGGGCTGAATTTTGTTGTAGTGGCGGACTGTGCGAGGAGTGTGTTTTGTGTGTGTGTCGATCAATGGCTAGTGACAGGGGTGAAGTAGGTTCAGTGGAAGTTTAAAGAGAGGATGGACGGGAATTTTAGTGGGAGAGGACAGATGCCGTGGCTTAACACAGCTTGGGTAGTGTGGGGTTGTAAGTTTAAGGAGGTAGCAACACCCAGTCTGGACACGGCGGGGAGGGGGCGGGACCATGAGTCAGGTGAGCGTCAGGTTGGGCAATGGTTTCTCTCTTCTTGGTCGGCTTGATCCCTTGGGTGTGGTGTTTTCTTGGTGTTGTTTGCTTGTTTGATGGACGGGCTGTTCGATAGAAATATCTTGGTCTTTTTGTTATGGGGGCCTTGTTAGATTGAAGTTGACGATCTTCTTTTCCTCCTCTTTTTGCTGTCTTGGACCGTTCATTCACGAGTGCCTAGGTCCTGTTCTTCGTGCCCTGGTTGCTCGTAGATGTTGAGGAAGTCGGAGGAGGTGTTCTGCCCCTTAGGTCTTGTGGTGTTCTTGTCTCTTGGTAACTTGTGTTTTTTCTTGTTTTTTCTTCTCTGCTTGTGTTTTTGTTTCTTGTTTATTCTTAACTTCAGTGCGAACTACAAGGAGAGCCTCCTTGTAGCTAAGTTTCTTGTTTTGGCGAACCTTGGCTGCCCTGCATTCCTCCTTCCACTTGGGGCAGGTCCGGTCGGCAGAGGAGTGTGGGCTGCCGCAGGCAGCGCACTTTTTCTCGGTGTTGGGACAGGTGGTGTAGCGGTGCCCGGAGGTACCACACAGGGAGCATACATCTTCCTGCGCCCTGCACTTGTTGATGATGTGTCCGTAGTTCTGGCATTTGAAGCAACGCTTGGGTCGGCAGTAGGGCGTGACTTAGACGGTTTCCCAGGCCAGTTGGACTTCCTGGGGCAGAGTTTCATGGTGTCTGACCAGAGCCGTCATTTCGGACAGCTTCTTGACACAGTGGAGCTGATCCAGGAGTAGTTTGTCAATCTCGCATCGGTTCAGGTGAGCAATTACGGTGTGGGAGACCACTCCCAGCTTCAGGTTGTCGTACTGGTGGAATGTCGGTCTCACTGAAATGCCTTTGATGGCGGTGTACTCCGACAGTTGTACGGGTTGGCCATAATCGGCGAAAGTGATCTTTAGGTCTCCATACAGCTTCAGGCATTCCACTTTTGTCACCCCCTTCATCCCTTCAGAGTTAAAAAACTCTGAGAGCTGGCTGGACGTTATCCGAATCATGGGTATCTAAAGAATAGCGACGTTTAATACTAAACAGCGTTATCGGGGGCAACGTTAAACGGGGACTTACTGTACCTTACTGTCTCTTGTGTTGTCATCTGCCATGTAAAATCAGCCAAGTTAAAGTTTCAGTCTTATAAGCCTTTCTGAAAGACTTAGTAAATGTTAATGTGATGCAAGACTTAAAAGGGGTAATATTGGGAAAGACTTAACAAACTCATCGTTTTACAGGAGACCAACGAAAAAGCCCGAGAGGAACATGAGGGCGTCAAGAAGCAGATCAACGACATGCAGCAGAGCATAAGTAACGGTGCAAGAGAGAGAAAAGAGTTAGACAACCAAATTATACAACTACAGCAGATTCGTGATACAGTAAGTGGCTGCCACATTACGACTTAGTTTATACTGTACTGTACTCTATTCTCTTTCAAATAAGACATATAGTTTGGTAGTGTAGTACAGTGAGTCTTATGAATAGCTGACATGTGCTACGGTTGGCACACACACACACACGCACGCACGCACACACGCACGCACGCACGCACACACGCACGCACGCACACACGCACACACACACACGCACACACACACGCACACACACACACACACACACACACACACACACACACACACACACACACACACACACACACACACACACACACACAGGTCAGGTCAGGTCAGGTCAACTGTTATGTTGGCCCATACCAACTCCCTCCCCTGAACCCTCCTCCCCACCGGAATATCAACAAGTTCACGCCAGAAGTTACTATTTCATTTAGGAAAGGAATGGAACCAGTGTTAAACAGAGGTGAACAGTGGTGAACAGTGCTTAAGTCAGTGAGAACAACTCAACAGTAACAGTGGTACCCAAGTTGACCTTTCACACAGTGAGGTCCCAGGTACCCAGTGATAACGGCCCGTGAGACCCAACCACCAGCGATGTGTTAATCCGTCTACGATAGGAAGGCCTGGAACCACACCTCACTCATATAACACCATCTGTGAGGGAATTACTACACCACGTGAGGCCCCTCATAACACCATATGTGAAGGAGTTACTACACCACGTGAGGCCCCTCATAACACCATCTGTGAGGGAATTACTACCACGTGAGGCCCCTCATAACACCATCTGTGAGGGAATTACTACACCACGTGAGGCCCTCATAACACCATCTGTGAGGGAATTACTACACCACGTGAGGCCCCTCATAACACCATCATCTGTGAGGGAATTACTACACCACGTGAGGCCCTCATAACACCATCTGTGAGGGAATTACACCACGTGAGGCCCCTCATAACACCATCTGTGAGGGAATTACTACACCACGTGAGGCCCCTCATAACACCATCTGTGAGGGAATTACTTTACACCACGTGAGGCCCCTCATACCACCATCTGTGAGGGAATTACTACACCACATGAGGTCCCTCCTAACACCATCTGGGAGGGAGTTACTACACTACGTGTTTGCAGTTCAACACCTACAATAATCTGTATGTTCACTGTATGTTCCTTTACCTTTCTCTAATGAAGGCTTTTGTTAAACCACCAATGTATGTAATAAGTCATTTATGTCCAACGTATATTTTCAGCCTTCGGGGTGCAGAACTTTTTCAATAAACCGTTAATTATTATTATTATTACTATTATTACACACACACACACACACACACACACACACACACACACACACACACACACACACACACACACACACACACACACACACACACACACACACACACACACACACACACTTGTCAACCCTCAGTGAGATAGGACGTGCCTGAAGGCGCTCTCGGTTTTAGCAGCCAGGCCGAATCTGTTTGGCCCTGCCCACCCCCCCTGGTATACCCCAACGCCCTACCAGCCTTACCACACCAGGATCGATTCAGCAAAACATTCTAGTGATTAGTGAACGAATGATTACGGAGCAGTGTTCCTATAGTGCACTTAAGGAACTTTCTCGGCAAAACATTCTAGCCATCAGTGCAATAAGTGATTACCATACAGTGCTCGATAGTGCACCCCAAGGAAAAGTCAGACAGTGGGCACTTTATCGGTCAACTTTAAAGTGCCAGTGACAAGGACCACCGCGGTGTTTACATATATCGTGAAAACTGTGTCGGCGACCCCAAGCACCGAGGACAAAGTCCACGGTCTTTACAACTGACAAACATTAACAGATGTCTACCAGTGTCAGTGTCCCTCAAAGTGCCGCCAGTGACGAACACTTCCGTCCGCCCACAACAGATTTCAACCGATGGCCACCAATCACTTACTCCCGACGCACTCTGTATCATCTAAAGCGTGGGAACGGTTATCCTGATGGGAGTGTTATCGCGCTACTCAAGTCACTGAAAATATTCCACGCGCGGAGCCGTAGACAAGGCCGTCATGCACATAAGCCCATTAGAACCGTAACCTCCACTAGGAAACCGGAGAAACCCACCCCTGACAGACCATACCATCACACTGAAGTTCCACGGATATGGTATGATCTCCCATCTTTACTGCTATCCAACGTCACTTCCCTAGCTAACAAGTTCGACGAGCTGGCAACTACAGTCAGGTCAACCGCCGCGCGCGTGGTTGCCATATGTGAGACTTGGCAAATTGTACCTGGAACGTGTCACATTGAAGGATATCAACTCTTTCATCACCTTCGTCCACAAAGACGCGGAGGGGGCGTTGCCCTCTTCTGTCAAGATGACCTACGCCCGTCACGCCTGGATGTTCAAGTCCCAGCAGATGTGGAAGCATTATGGGTACGTGTCGTGCTGCGGGCACACCCACGCAACACTGCTTCCATTATCATCTGTGTGGTATACCATCCGCCTCGATCACCCACCAGAGACACTCTTATCAATCATCTCATCACCACCTCAGACCACCTCAGAGTTAGGTACCCATGTGCCAAGTTAGTATTATGTGGGGATTTAAATGAAATTGACACCACTGATATCCAGGACCAGCTATCACTATCACAAGTCGTGACCTTCCCCACACACGGTCAAAATACCCTTGACCTTATCTTAACTGACTTAGCGGACCAGTACCAACCTCCTCAACCACTGCCTCCTGTCGGGTGTAGCACACACTTATCAGTGCTCTGGTCCCCTGCTGCCACTCCCACTCAAGTACAGAGACCCTACATCAAGACCTACAGGCCGATTACTGACTCTGCAGTACGCCTCTTTGGACAGTGGATAGTTCACTATCCCTGGACTGAAGTACTCAGCGTGGATGACGTGGAAACCAAATGGATAAATTATACCAACACCACCACCGAAGCTCACCACCACCGAAGCTCACCACCACTTCTTCCCCGAGAAGTCCGTCAGATCTCACCCAGCTGACTTGCCCTGGATCACACCTCGGATCAAAAGACTTATGCAACAGAGAGACAGAGCATTTCATCTCAATGACCACATCCGCTACAGGTCACTTCGCAACAGAGTCATCCGCGAAATACGCACTGCAAAGAAGTCCCACTACCCAACCAAATTACAACACCTGAAGCAGACCAACATCAGTCAATGGTATGGTAAGCTTAAAGAACTCTGTGGACTAAACAATATGACACACCCCCTCCCTTTCCTTAGCCATCTCACTAATGTTGACGCAGCTGAGCAAACAAATAACCATTTCGCTACTATATGCCAGACGCTCCCACGGCTTGACACAACCACTCTCCCTGCTTACCTACCAGCCCCCTTCCCACTGACTTAGTAGAGGAATTTGACGTAGCAAAACGCCTGGACAAACTAAAATTAAAACGCTCTACCACCCCCATTGACTTACCAATGAAACTATTCAAGGAGTTCTCCCCGGAGCTTGCTAAACCCCTCTGCTCCATCATCAATGCTTCTCTCAGTCAAGCCAGATGCCCAGCTGACTGGAAGACCTCTTATGTATCACCAGTGCCCAAGCCAACCAGCCCACAATCCTTAAATCAGCTACGACCTATTGCAATCACCCCAATACCCAGCCTAAGCTGTGAAAGTTTTGTGTTTGACTGGGCTTATGCTGATATTGCAGGAGTCGTAGACCCTCAGCAATTTGGCAACATGAAAACTTCCTCCACCACTCACTGTCTTGTCAGCTTTCTCGATTACATATACCGCCATCTCGAAAAACGAAAAACGTCTGTAGCTGTCGCCTTCATTGATTTCACTAAAGCGTTCGACCTAGTCGACCACAATATAATCATAAACAAAGCTATTGACCTCGGGCTTCGGAGAAGTCTCATACCATGGCTTACAGACTTCCTCAGTGACCGACGCCAAGCCGTACGCTTCCGAGGGGCTGTCTCCACCTTTCAGTCACTCACCTGTGGCGTCCCCCCAAGGCACCAAGATGGGACCACTCTGCTTCCTTATGCTCATCAATGATGCCCTAAGAGAAACCCCTGCTCGCTGGAAATATGTCGACGACTCCACCATTGGGATCAGCGTCAACAATTCTGCTCCCAACTATACCGCCCTTCAGGATTTATTGAACAGTCTCCAAAACTGGGCCACCAACAACCATGTCACCATCAACCATACCAAGACCATGGTTATGCACATCAACCTCTCCTCCGACATTGTCCAACCTCCTTCCATTACCCTAGGTCCGAACACACTCCAGGTTGTAGATTCCACGAAGCTCCTCGGCGTCACCATAGACAACAAACTAAATTGGAAACCACACGTCAGTGAAGTTGTCAAATCCTCCAGTTTCCGTCTCCACCTCCTCCGCCGACTCAAGTCCCTCGGAGTTCCCGCACACGAGCTCCTCAGTGTATACACAACATTCATACTTCCCAAGCTCACCTATGCCTCCCCCACCTGGTCTTCCTCCCTAAATGCCACACAACGAAAACACCTAGAAAAAGTGCAAAAGAGGGCATGCAAGATTATTCTCTCCCCTTCCTACTCCACATATCAAGAAGCGCTCAACACACTGACCCTTTCGACTCTCACTGACCATCACCACGGCCTCATCTGCAAATTCGGCAAGAAGCTTATACACCATCCCCGACACCGGCCCCTACTACCACCTGAGATCCCCTGTCCGAGAATTGCTGTTCGACACCACAACCGCATCCAGCCCATACGTGCACGAACTGATCGCTATAAGAACAGCCCAGTCCCAACCATTGTAAAATTATCAATAACATGTAATAAATCAGTGTATTCACTCCCAGTAAACACTGCTCCCTACACTGTCACTATGTTGAAATGAACTGTATTTTGAGCTGATCCCCATCTAAGTTACTATATGTCTTATTTGTGTCACTTATGTCACTTGTATATTATTTGTAATTCGTAACCCATTTCCCAAATATGTAACTGTATATTTTCAGCCTTCTGGCTGC